CAGGGAGATGCTCGCTGTGCTTCCGTTTGACGTATCGTTCCTTTGAAAGGACGTTGACACACGAATCAGTAAATGACATGCATCGTGCTGTGGTGGAGGGTATATCGAAGGAATTACCGATCACGATACGATGATCCCACGTGGCGTGTTTCCGAAATGGTGGTGAGTTGTGTTACGAGAATTATATAAGAAGGACTGTCCACTACATAGTGGAATACCATCGGGTGGTAACGACATCAGCAGTGTCGTTTAAACTACAAACTTTGAGTAGTGCTGAGTCAGCACTGTTACGCTGTTGTGAAAGCGAGCACGATCTCATCATACCTTACAATTTGAATCATATGTAATCAGAGCAATTGTGCCGGTTTTCTAATATTCTTTGAATAACCAAAACGCTGTCTGAATGTAAGATTGAGTCTTCAAGAGATCACAGCATTTTTACTTCTCATCATCAAACTAGCCCGCTGAACTCAGCACACACTTGACAACATGAGAATAACACACACACAATCTTTGACAGTAAATACAGTGCACCACAGTCATGCATAACTAGATTTTCGAGATGGCTTTTTTCAATGCTTCTGAAACATTGAGGATCGATTCACATTGTTATTGTGTTGATATTACTCAAAGTTTACTTACAACTTCGAAAATACGAAGGCGTTGACAATGTTACTCTGAATAATGGTTTGGTTCACCGTACGCGCTGTAGATCATCAATGAGTCTGGGGTTTCGTATCCCTGAGAGCACACTTTATCTGAAGTCGTACTCTCAAAAAATTGCAAGCGATCACGGCATGAACTCATGCCTCCTCCCAGTTGTTTCACGCACCCTGGCTCCTCGTAGCTGAGGGGTTTCTGTGCATTGCTCTGCCTCCGTTGTAGAGCCCCTCCTCCCACCGGGTTGCTCCCTCGCTGCAGTATCAGGCTTGTCAGCAAGGCCCTGTCAATTTCAAGAGAGTTATCGATGAGTATGAAGTACGTTATATACTCGACACCATCCACACAATCATATCAAGAGCACTGTCGTGTGTTGTTGATGAGACGTCCTTGATGTCAAGCATTGATCTCGATGGCGCATTTGATGTTGCGGATGTTGAGGCTCGTCTGAGCGAGTGAATGCTTTTTCGCTGGGTGATGCAGAGAAAGATTGCACACTCCGCTCGACGAAATAGGAAGCGTCAGGAAGGGCGATGTCCAGACGAGATGGGATATGTGAAGATGAGGTATATGAGCCAATCCCGGCAGGTTGTTCTTCTCGTCCTTGGATGGACAGGAAACCTCGTTGCTTTACAATTCCAAGGTGAGGATGATTGACTGCGAGGCGTGGGCTGTCCGATGTGGTATCAAAACTACCCGGTAGATGATGAACCGATACACCTCTGGTACGGAGCCAGGAGGACTGGGACTGCTGATTATAGCAGACTCCGCTCCTTATCCTGACCACGATCGCCTCTACGAATAAGTGACAACCATTGAAAGTTCCAGCCAACGTGGCCCGTCAAGTTGATCTGCTTTGCTCAGAGAGATGCTGCGAGTTTTCTGGCGCTAGAGGTTCTAGGATGGCCACGAGTCGTGACCTAGGCTTGAGCACCGATACGACGATATTGAATGAGTGCCACATCGAATGGTATGTACTCCGATTACATTCCACTCACGATGCCACACCGAAACTACACTCACTAAGGATCGTGTCTCACGTTACGCAGTACTTCACCTTCTTCGTACCACCATCATCACTCAAGATATGTCGCTCTATTATACTACGAATCGTTTGTGGTGCTGTGGATCCGTTTTTCTCGTCGCGTGAACGGTCGCGAACTTTCACATATTGACTGAACAAAAGAGTGATATGATGAAATTATTGTCAAGAGCCCGGAGATATATCAACCTCCGTTTGTCAACTGCAGGAAACGACGGATGGTCTTATAGCACGTCGCCATGTGAATATCCCCAATAGAGACTTTACAGGAACCACCGCGTCATAACGGGGATACATAGAGGTGCTTAACACAGTTCATCCAAGTCTCGGCACTCATTCCAAAATAGGACTGAGCAAAAGCCGCGTACGCAGTGACCACGAGGAATAAAATGCTGAGGGTGGTGATAGACGTCAATAATACTGAGTTAATCTTCATATAGCTGATTGGCGTAACGCTTGAGTTCGTCGATGCTCGCAGAACGTAAAAGTTCGTGGATATGAGTAGGAGTTCTGTTAGCGCCAATATGGAATGTTGGAGTACCTTGAGAGGCTGCTCCCCAAGATCCAATATTCAAGGGACTTTGCATCAGATGGACAGGTAGGGGAGGGCCAGGATAGTTAGCAGGGCTGCCAGTGTTACCCAAAGACTGTTGTTGATGTTGAGCAGCTGCTTGAGCGAAAGTCGGTATCATCAATGGTCCATTGGCCAGAGGAGTACCATCCGGACTTACCATACGAGCCGTAAGGAAGCTGCCATTACCGCCGAATAGTGGTAGGGTCAGATCATGCACGGGAGAGGTCTCCAAACCTTGAGGGCTTGTTGAGCTTGTCGTTAAACGTCTTGAGGGCTGCTGTGCACTCTCATAATATCTTCTATTGGATGCATCTACTTCTAAGTCGGTGACACCGTTATCCATAGTAGTAGGAGAGAGAGGTAGTCCAGGATGGAAGTCTGGTGCCATGCAATTCAGTTGATGCTGGTTGCTGATTGACCCTTCATGGGATGTAACTGGAAGAGGCTTGGGCGTAGTACCATCACATGTACCAGGAGGAGGCAGTTCACCAACTAGCTCTTCCTCGGAGTGAGCGAACCGGCATCGGTTACCAAGTT